ATGGCACGTTATTGACCTATTGACTAAAATCACGTTATCCCATCAAACCATCCCCTCCATAAACTTATCAAGCTTAATCTTAAAGCCAGAGAGGCCTTTCGCCCCCACTGTTTCCCTCGGAAGGCTGTTCCAGAACTTCACCCCTCTGATGGTTAGAAACCGTCTAATTTCAAGCCTAAACTTCCCGACGGCCAGTTTATATCCATTTGTTCTCGTGTCCACATTAGTACTGAGCTGAAATAATTCCTCTCCCTCCCTGGTATTTATCCCTCTGATATATTTAAAGAGAGCAATCATATCCCCCCTCAGCCTTATTTTGGTTAAGGTAAATAAACCAAGCTCCTCGAGTCTCCTTTCATATGACAGGTTTTCCATTCCTCGGATCATCCTAGTGGCCCTTCTCTGTACCCGTTCCAGTTTGTATTCATCCTTTTTAAACAGAACTGCACACAGTACTCCAAATTAGGTCTCACCAGTGCCTTGTATAATGGAACCAGCACCTCCTTATCCCTACTAGAAATACCTCGCCTAATGCATCCCAGGACCTCATTAGCTTTTTTCATGGCCACGTCACATTGCCGACTCATAGTCATCCTGCGATCAACCAGGACTCCGAGGTCCTTCTCCTCTTCCGTTACTTCCAACCGATGCGTCCCCAGTTTATAACTAAAATTCTTGTTAGTCATCCCTAAATGCATAACCTTACACTTCTCACTTTTAAATTTCATCCTATTACTATTACTCCAGTTTACAAGGTCATCCAAATCTCCCTGCAGGATATCCCGATCCTTCTCCGAATTGGCAATACCTCCCAACTTTGTATCATCCGCAAACTTTATCAGCCCACTCCTACATTCGGTTCCGAGGTCAGTAATAAATAGATTAAATAAAATCGGACCCAAAACCGAACCTTGAGGAACTCCACTGGTAACCTCCCTCCAACCTGACAGTTCACCTTTCAGTACGACCCGCTGCAGTCTCCCCTTTAACCAGTTCTTTATCCACCTCTGGATTTTCATATCGATCCCCATCTTTTCCAATTTAACCAATAATTCCTCATGCGGTACCCTCCCTCATCCCCCCCCATATTTTTTGTTTCTTGTTCTCCCGGCCTTTTGCATTAATTTGTTGTGATGGTTTCCAACACCCATTATGATAATTTTAATGCAAGAGATTGCACTGCAGTTAGCTTGCTATTTTTGTTGCAGCAACTGTGTCATTTCTGAAACCTGCTTGCTCTGGCTGACAATGTAGCACATGCTGCAAGACCCATTTGAATCAACAGGAGCAAAAGGTGTAAGGTATTATATCTACAAATAACTATTATGCCTGGATGAGTTTATTTTTATTATTATTTATTAAAGGATATACAGATACTCTACCCTCTCACTTGTAAATCCTGTACCATATGAGAATACAGATGAATTTGTGCTGTGCTGAGAATCAATGTAATCATGATAATTAGTAGTCAGTCTGTAACTCACTATGAGCCAAACAAAGGGATTTCCTTGGAGCAGCTATTCTCAAGAGAAAAACAAATGTGTGCAAGAGAGGGCATATGCTATCCATGTTTCTGCATATCCTTGTTTCTTGCTACGTACAGTATGTGTGTTGCTATAATTTTAAGAGGGCTCTGTTGTTCAGAGACCTGCAGAGGTACTGCAGCCATAGTGTTACTGGTGGCTTTTTGTATAAGCATTGTTAAGACCTAGAAGCATGAGAAGAGGATAAAGATTCAGAACTGAGGCTGTACAAAACAATCAGTTTTTATCTTTTGTAGAATATGTTACATTGAGAAGGGCTAAAATATATGTTAACTTTTTTTTTTTTTAACACAAATCTTGGAAGAGTAGAATAGGTTGGGTTTGGAAACTATGTTTACCTTATACCTCCCAAAAAGGAAGAAAGGACGAGCTTACGGTTAACATACAGGATTGGATGTTAAGAGATACAGGTTCTGTACCTGGCTTTGCCACAGACTGCATGTGTGACTTAAGGCAAGCCACTTGAACTCTCTGCTTCCGTTTCCTCGGTGCCTTACAGAGGTATTGTGAAGCTAACTAATTTTTGTAGAGTGCACTGAGATATAGCACTTTGCCATCCAAGGATGTATAGAAAGTTTTAATAATAGTAAATTGCAACAAAATTTTGTCTTCCTACTACAGCTATTTGCACGTTTAGGTTAGGCCCCAATTTTGCAAAAGCTTAAGTACATGTTTAATTTTAAGCACGTGAATAGTCCAGTTGATTAGTTGGAACTACTCACATGCTTACAGTTAAGCATGTCCATAAGTCTTTGCAGGACTGGGATATAAAATGGCAGCTAACAGATTTACAGGCTTGTAGAAATTAGAGAAGGAAAAGATAACACTGGGTAATCCTTTAGTCAAGTCTGCTCAGGGCCGTCCCTAGCTATTCTAGGGCCCTACGCAGCCCCCCTGTGGGGGGGAAGGGCCCAGGCCTCCGCGGGGGGCAGAGGTGGGAGGCCTGGGGAAGAGGCGTGGCAGGGGCTGGAGCAGCACGCAGCTGGGCAGGGCACCAGGAAATTTGGTGCCCCAAGTTTCCTGGTGCCCTACGCAGCTGCATACTTTGTGTATGGGTAAGGATGGCCCTGAGTCTGCTGCCCATACATGTTTGTTTCTTGCCATACACAGTGTTTAGACAGTAAATGTGAACTGTTGTGCCAGTTCTTAAATACATCAATTTTCTTTCTAAACAACTGTGTTTGGTGTATTGAGTGAAAAACTAGAAAATGGATAATAAATCCATCGTACATATAAAAGAGCAAAAGCAATCTGGGGCCAAACTGACAGACATGCATGTGATTACTCCCATTAAAATCAATGGGGCCTACTCACCTTGATAGAGTCACTCACATGAGTGTTTGCAGAATAAAGCTGGATAACGAACACCAGTTTTTAAATAAATAGAAAGTGTACGTTAGGATTGTATATCTTCCAGGAAACAACCACTGAATTTTTTTTTTCCTTTTAAGAAATAGAGTATATTTAAACAAACACGCACCCCGGATGAAGAGCATTTTCCTTATCCAGTCATTCATTATCAAGCAACAAAATTAAACGAAATCTCAACATTTTTTGGTTGTATGCCCCAGAATAACTAAGCAGCTTCCCCTCAAAATCTTTCTAGGACACCAGCTGCAAATAAGAATGAGCTTCCATATTTAATAAATTCTATTAACTACACACACATCCATGTCACATTATAGGTGAACAGGCCCTAATTAAAAGCACACACCATCTGCTGGTTTGTGGCAGCAGGGTAGCACTCCATAAGCACCCCTGGTTCCTGTGATTGAAATGTATTATTTATGAGCTCTTACAAAAATATGTCACTTACCTCATGGAAACTGCGTTAAGAACTGGATGGCACCATCTAATGGTATGGTAGTGAAGCAGGTTGTTAATCTTTTTTCTTAAGAATATTCTCTTTGCTCTCTCTCTAGATATACATATTTGGGGTGGAGGAAGGGGTTAATGATCAGATTTCCAACAGTTTCATGTTGGACCTGAAGCTTGCATTTCACTTTTGTATGAGATGAAAAGTAATCTTTGAAAATATTAAGCTATTGGAGTGGTTTTCATTGTTTTTTTCTTTCTGAGCAAAATGTTTAAGTTTGAGATAAATATGTTTATTGGTGTGAGGCATTTTAAATGGTGATAGACAATAATAGTGTGAATTACAAAGATACCTGAAAAGGATCAGCATGCACCAAATACCTTTATAAGCTGGCCTCTCATAAAAATATCTACTGGTCAATTGGGAGTGTCTTTTAACAAAAATGAAATCCGTCTAGTGTTTGTTAAGGGATTCATTGCAGATTGTACCAAGATTATTTGTTGACTTTTAAATAAGGAGAGAGAATTCTAATCTGTGTTTCTAATGGTCCTTGGGACCTAAAGTTTTGGACACTTTTCTGTGTTGCCTTGCAAGGGTGGAGGCCACATCCTCTTTCCCACCTGTTAGTGGGACTAGGGGCACTGTTCCTCGAGTGGAAAGCAAAATGCACGTTGAGAAAAATAAAACACATTTTTGAATGGCTGATTCAACAGCTCACCTTTGGTGACTTTCAGGTTACAAATTGATGTATGCAGTGGTTAGCATTGTGCCTGATGACCCTTGGAATGCCAGGATCAAGAATCCGTGCACTGATTCAAATCACTCTTGTGGTTCATATGACAAGAAAAGAGATGACTGAAATATCCTTGTGCTCTGTAGCACTCATAACTAGCATCCAGCAGAAGTAGTGCTATTGTGCTACTTCAGGCTTTTTCTTTGTAGTGCCAAGCAGTGCTGCATCTTAATAGCAGTAACAGGCAGAGCAATAATGATTGGACTTTTCTTGTGGCTACTCGAATTGTTACAAGGAGACCTTTGGTATTAAAAAAAGTAAACAGAGAGCATGTAATAAGACCCTCCAGGTAGTTGTACTTAACTTAAAAAAAAACAAAAAACTGCCTTGGTGAAGAAAGTTTAGACAACATGGGGTTTTCTATGTTTCTCTTGGTATTGTTAATGATTCTGTTTCCAGTGATGAAACCACCATCTTTCTTTCCACACATTAGGGAAGGGTGTGTAGAGGAGTAATTCTACAGTGTATTTGTGATTCCCCCATATGTTTATAATCTACAATAACATTCCCAGTCTGTTGGCATAGAGAAATGTTTATACATCTCAGAGATGACGTAGACATGAAGGAAATTGAAGTATATGAGGCACAAAGTTCTTCCACATTAAGTTCTAGTAAAGCTGGTTCTACAGTTCAAGGCCCTGACCATTGCTTTATAGTATTTACTAGGGCATGATAGGATTTAACCTGAACAGAGAGAGAGAATATAAAGTTTGAAGCAGATAAATGGACGATTAGTGTGTACAACTGTTCGTAAATATCCTCAACAGCATTTACTGCAGTAGCCAAACACTTTAAAAATTGTTTTGATGTCAAAACACTTACGGATGCTTTTTTTAATAATGTCTAGAACATATACCATCAGAAGGATAAGAGATGCCTTCAGAGAAAACAAACATTTAAAGGATTCAGAAGAAATACAAACACTAGTGAATAAAGCAAGAACAAACCTAGAGATTATTCATCGGCAGGTAAGCATACTTTAGTTCATCTCTTTTACTTAAGAATTGTAAAATGCTGAATGACATGTTCTTCTCCCCTAAGGGTGTAAGTCCCATGCCAGTTTACGGAATGGGGAGAGAGATCTTGTACAAGTATTATTGTTCACAAATGGTGGGGAGGCAGAGTGAGGGAGTGAGTGACTGGCACAGTATTCAGTTCTCCTTGATTGGAAGGATTTAAACATGAGTCCCATTAGTACTAATGGGATTCTACATACTGTTCTCTAAACTCCTTTGCTGTCCCTCTTTTTTCTGCCCTTCAGTCCTCTGCTGCCATGTGTTTTGTCTTTGCTTTTCCCTGTGTTGTGTTTTCTCTTGCTCTATGTCCATGTCCTCATCCCTTCTTTTCTGCCTTCCCTCATCACTGGCATGTTAATATGCTCAGGGGAGTGCCAGTAGCTTAAGCTTTCTTTACTCTGTTTTTGCCCAATTTGAAGCACAGTCCAGTAGGGTGTAGAAACAGAAGCATATCCAATCTTAACATTTTTGAATACGTTTGTGAAAATATTTTTTGCTTGTTTGCACCCCGGATATCATTGATTCCTGTCCGCTGTGTTCACACCACTGTGCACAGGGCTAAGGAGGGTAGCGAGATGATTCTTTGGAACACACATCAAACTTAACTGATTAATTTTATACATAATGTATTTTAAGAAGTTTTATCTTTAAGTTCCCCCCAGCCTCTTACTTCAGAAATGGAGCCTAGCTTACCATTTTCTTTCAATCCTCATGATTGTTTTACATTTGTTTACATTTTGTAGGCTTTCTTTGCAAGGAAAGGGGCTAGAAAGATTTTTATTTCAAGCAAAAGCTGAGATTGTTCTTCAAATTTTATTTCTCCCACGTTAGGGAGGGTCTGAGACTGCGGGCTTTATGGAGCCAAAGGACAGCCCTAAATTAAAAAGCTGGAAGACCGCTTGCTAAGTGGAGTCAACCATTAACCATTCAATAACAGCAGAAGAATACCTCTAATATTATTTGTTGAAAGAAGGTTTGGTCTTTAAAAGCATGGGGGCGGGGAAGGTGTCCCACTTGTATGACCTGCTGGTTGGCGCCAGCAAGCCGCAACTAGTTCAAATTCAAAAGTGTCTTCTAATTTTGGATGCCTTAACATTTAGGTATCCAACTTGACACACTTATGACCGCGCTTTCACTGGTCCCATTAACCTAAGTGGAACTGTTGGTGCTCAGGTCCTGCCTATGTCAAGTTCAATATCCTCAAATTGAGGCAATTATATTTAGAGGCCATGCTTGGGAAAATTTGTTCCTAAGTGATTTGGTCCAAGGTATCACTGTATGTCTGTGACAGAGCTTGGAATAAAACCCAGCTTTCCTTATTCTGAGTCCTGTACTTCAACCATATAATATTTATGTGACCAGTCCTCCAAAATCTCAATGGGGCTTTGCAGATTTGGGTCTTGGGTTTTATTTCATGTCAGTTGACATGGTGGGGAAAGGAAGAAAGCACTTTTTCTAACCTAACTGGTGAAAGAACACACACAATTGGTTAGGTCCTTCAAATGTGTACTTTTTTGTTTTGATGCCTAAAAAAAAAAAAGGAGCAGGGAGATAACAGTGGAAAGTTAGGTTAATCTCTGTTCTACATTCCCACTATCTCTTTCGGTTCCTGTTTATAAGATAATAGGGGCCAGGTAGCCACTAGCAAATACAATTGTTATATTTTTTAAGTGACATTGTCACAACACGAACATCCAGTCTTTGTTTGGATCTATGAAAACATATGTGTTTAAAGTTTACTCAGAACATGGTCATGACTGTTGTCATGACATCAACAGAACCATTTTAATCCATTAATTTTGTTCACCTTGTTGCTCTGAAGTATTCACAAAAAATTAATTTAATCTAGAAATAATCCTGTAGGGCCATATTTTGCCTTCAGCTATGAACATGCAAATCCCAGTGAAAATGGCTCAGGCATATAAAGACACAATTCCACCTGTAGGGGGAAATTTACAAAGGGACAAATGGCACATAGGTAAGGCTAAGATTTTGTCATTGGTATTTTTAGTAAAAGTCTCGGACAGGCCACAGGCAAAAAAGAAAAATTCACGGAAGCCGTGATCTGTCCGTGACTTTTACTAAAAACATCCCTGACAAAATGGGGATCTGCAGGTCCCCACATTGCCTGAAACAGGGCAGCTACACTGGGGCTGCAGGGTACCCCTGCTGTCTGCAGCTCCAGGAGGTCCCCACTGCCTGTGGGGTGCCCCGCCACTGGTGTCAGCCAGGAGCTGCCGGGATTCCCCACGGCCGGAAGCTCGGGGGGTTCCCCGCTGCCCGCGGTGGTCAGGAGCTCGGGGGTTCCCCCACCACTGGCAGCTCTGGGGCCCCCACTGCCTGCGGTGGCCGGGAGCTGCAGGGTACCCTGCCGCCTACAGCAGCTTGGAGCTCCAGGGGCTGCCAGAGGTGGCGGGGGCACCCCGCAACTCCATGACCCCGCGGGCAGTGACTTCTGCCACTAAATCGTAGCTTTACACTCAACCCCCACTGATTTTCAATTTGAATTTTCACATTTGAAAATCTTTCTCTTTATATTTAAATTTAAAAATATTCTTAATTTGTAATGGTTTGATACATATAACTTAAATGCATTGTAAATCAGCAAGATCATTTAGAGATCTATATTTTTCTCTTCTCCAAAACCATTTGTTTCTTAATTTTGTTCTTTAATTTGTCTTGACTATCTTCACCTTTGCATTTGCTATAGGAAGACCTAAGTCAGTTTCTAAGTCTATAGCTTTTAAGAGCTTTTACTCTCGAAGGGGTTTCTTTCATGTTCTAAGCCAACCTCCTGGTTCAAAAAAAGTCTTTAATTCGATTGCATTTTGAGATCACTCTGTAAAATTTCACGGGAAAATATATTTAAAAAGCAGGGGATTTTGTAGAAATGGAAGGGAAAATTCTTGTCAGATATGGAATATTTTCACTATTTTGGAAGTGTTAATTTTATCTAAGCATTTCTTTGGTCACCTTTTAGATTTATTTCTTCTTTCAGACAAGATAGAATCTCTCTAAGTCTGACTGTCAAAGGGTGTATATGTATCTATATATAGATATATTTTTACTGGAGTCAAAATAATAGCAGATGGTATGTGGTGAGGCTTCTCTTTAAAAACATAATCTAATAGAAGGAAATGAGTTTAGCAAGTGAATTTCAGAGATGTCTGAGCTTTGGGGGGCTTTGAATGTTGATATTTGGGATAACTGAAGCTGAATTAGTCTCTATATCAAATGAAAAATGTATTTCTAAATAAGAAAAAGTAATTGTCAGTGTTCTTTTGTGGAACAAATTATATACTTCAATGCTGGCAGCACTTCATCTATAAAGCAAGCTCTAAATATTATGAAACAAGTCTCTGCCTTGTCCTAAAGTACACATGTAAATTAGGGTGAAAGTACAAGAGACCTCCTAGAGTCTCTTCCATTCTGTGTTGCACTTCTGTTCCATGCACATCTGTTCCATGAAAAACACAATTTTTCTCTAACATCTTGATTGTTTATTTTCAGTCTTATTTTAATTGAACAATTTAATTAATGGCATGAACTGACATAAAATAATGGGTTTATATTTAAAACCAACCCTAAAACATATATAAATTGTTTTTGTTTTTGTTTTTAAACACAAAAGCAATGAAGCAAATATTAGATGTAGTGTGCATTTTTGTAAGTTTGGGGATTTATTATAATATAGCACATCTGGTGTTGCTGACTTTTTCATTGCATGTCGATAGAAATTAAATAATATCCCAGCTTGCTGACAATTTGTTGTTACTGTGAAATCAAATTTACATGCTAATTTATGGTTTAGTCATCAAAGTGACCACTGAAGTATAAGGTTCATAAATAACAATTTGAATCAGTCTAGTGGGAAATGTGAAATAGTGACAGATTACTGTCATTTCATGTCAGTTACCACAGTATTTTCCTGAATGTTTTAAAAGGAGCTTTATAAAGCTAAAAAGCATGGAGGAACATTAATCTCAACCTCTGTCTTCCCACACTTTCCTAGTTATTGGTTTGATTTGAAAATAGGATGGGTAAGGGAGGGAGCAGATCACAGATTCTTTTCTGCCCATAGCGCATGGTATGGAGGTTTTTCTTGTATCTGGTGTGCTAACAGCAGAGAAGGGGATTATACACTGTGACCAGCGTATTGTCATCATTAAAAGAGTGGAAAAGTTGCAGCTGTTAATGCCAGCATACAGTCAGCTCTAGAGGAGCAGGGTAACTTTAATGTAAAATCCTTTGTATGTGGTTATTGAGACAGAATGAGTTCTACTGTCACCACTAGTGTGATATGGTGTCTGCCACTTGCTAATCAAACTGTTTCTATTTATGCTCCCATTACTTCTCTGAAGAACTATTACTACTGTTTGAACAGGAGGGGGATTGGAGAGGCTTCCCTGAAAAAATATTGTTTTTGTTTAGATTGAGGGTTTATTCAAGCCACTTTGAAGCTCATTTGTGTTGTATGTGTTCAAGTCCTAGCTAGTTCTCTTCATGACATCACAACAGCCTTTGATTTTCACTGCACCAAAATGAAAATCTGTATGGGACCAGTGTGTTTTGGTTAAATGCCTATTTTAATCCACAAAACTATTTATTATTATTTGTTTTCATCCTACAAAAGACTTCTTTTTAGCCTTAGACTGAAACTGGAAGGCTTTAGTCTTTTAGCTCTACGTTTAAGAAGGCATTATTCTGGATTTCCGAACAGATATGAAGACTACAGTACCAATCATTCTTGTTTTGACATCATATCACTGAAGTACCCTTCAGTAAAAAGGTTTTGATGCCTCATTGCCTTTGCTTGTTCTTTCAAGTAGTCCAGAGAATTGTGCTTTATACAGAAGATTCTTTTGCAGAGTGACCAACAATACATCATAAACTTCTGGAGGAGCACTACGTGAGGGTTTCCCTGATTAGTGCTAACTTGTCTTCCAGGTATA